GGGGGTTTTGCTGCTGGAAACTGCTGATGCCTCACTTGCAGTTGTTGTTCTTTTATCCTGTAGTTTTACTAGTTCAGAGATAGAATGATCTTAACATACTGATCTCGTTCTCAAAGCAGAGCAAAAAAATCAAGGTAAATACTTTCTGCATTCACTCCGGGATGAATTTGAGTCCTGATTTGATTTTCTGAGGAGGCATTAGAGCTGTGAAAACTTGCATTTTTCCTGGTAACTATATGTATCAGGAAGTGTAGAATTTCAGGAGCAGGTTTAATATTATATTACTCTGGAAAAGTGGGGCCCTGTGCACCTCTTTTCCAGCCCTCTGCTTGTCTATTTTCCTTAGTTCTCATGGACAGGAGTAAGTGGTTGTGTGGTGGGCTGGATTCACCTCCCAATTAGCACCGTATGGAAATGGAATTCATGGAGCTGTGTCTGTTCCTGGGCTGGTGCATCCAGCATGTCTGCCCATCAGGCAGTTCAGGGATCAAAATCACTTAAGCTGCTCCTGAAAGTGTTCCCTGAGGCTGCACTTCCCTGGACAGGCCTGGTGTTTGTGGTTTGGCTCTTTGGTGATGTTACTGTGTCGTTTTATTTTGGAGTTTTTTTGATGAGAGCTGTGCACTACTGTGGCCCATACCCTCAGCCCCCTCCCTCCACTTTTTCACTGTAGAAATACTTCTCTTTTGTTTCCTGAAAAAAATTCACCTTTGGGTGGTGACCAAACTGGTACCTTTGAAGCATTAGAAATGTAGAGCTGGAGAATTTTTATCATTTTACCTGTGGTGGTGATCACCACTAACTCCACTGGAATCAGTGCTAAAACAGATGCTCGTGTTTAGAGAACAAAAACAGTATTTGCGAAACGTAGAGATGGAAGTGCTAACAATAAATAAAGAAATCACATTTAGACACAGAGAACAGGTGGATGAAGAATTGAAACAGATGTAGGAAACAAGAAATTGCTCTCAGTTGCTCGGTTTTGGTCTGAACTGTATTTTAACAGCTGTTTCTCACATCAGAAAGATCTCTGTCCAAAAAGATGATAAAAGATGAGACTACTGGCAAAAATTACATCAGATGCATGCAGAGAATGTTTGTTGAATATAAACAATTTGACCACCTTCACCAAGGCTAAGAACAATTAACTGAAAAAAAAAATCACTGTTTATTGTGTTATTTTAAAGTCTGTGTTGGTACAGCAGCTCACAGATTTTTACTCAGGTATTTTGTGGAGAATAAATGCTTCTTCTGGTAGTGTCCAATAGTTTTATATAAACCTTTGTGACATAGTTTGATGACTTAATTGCACTGTTAAAATACTGCTTCTGGAGCAAGTGCTCAATTTCCAGACCTTGGTGTGGTTTACTTTTAAATGCTTTTTGCAGTGGGTCTCCTGATCCTGCCTTGAATCTGCTCTGCAGTTTACAAGTGCCATTGTTTAGGCTCATTTCATGGAAATATTTTCTTTTAGGTCCCTTATTAGAATTATTAAAGCTGAATCTAACTGCTGTCTCTATAGAATTTACCTTCATAACTTGTGATGGAGAAGATAACTTGCTTTTATAATTTTTTTTTGGTAGAAATGACAGTGTAAGCTTTAATAAGCTCCTATACCCAATATTCCAGGTGGGTCTCGGCAGTGCAGCGCTCCAGTTAAATATTGACTTGCTGTGTAGGACTTTGGTCTTGGGTAATCCTTGCTGAAATTGCAGCCAGGAGAAAGGTATTGTGGCAAATATAATCACTTAACATCACCCTCTACCAAACTAGAGCCAGTCTGGATGTGGGGAATGGTCCCAGAAGAGGCTCCCAGGGTTGGGAGTCTCTGCTGGATGATGTGAATGGATAACCACGTTTGTACCTGGCCATGGGGACAGTCCTTGTCTGTCTCTCTGTAGTGAAAGAACTAGAATTTGGGGTCTCATTGTCGGTGCCAAGCCTGGTGGTCCTTTCTAATCTTGCCCTTATTCATCCTGGTGCCTCTGGCTGGCAGGAGTGGTGTGTGCCAGGAGCCCAGCTGGCAGGAGGTCTCGGCTCTGGGACTGTGCCTCCCACCACAGAAGGCTCTTTGTGCCTTATGGACACGTGATCCCCTGAAAAAATAAACATTTCTCGTTCTTGCAGAGATTTGCTTTCAGATATGAACTGAGCATAACTGTTTCAGCATTTCCAGCGTGCTCCATCCCTCTCTCCTTGCTGCTGTAAGCTTTCTTGGAAAGGTCTGAAATCTGCTCGCTGAACTTCGTTGCAAATAGAATCCCTCTGGAACTGAGAAGATAAATTTTGTTCAGGAAGTGGTGTGTAGCATTTTTTGACTGCTTTGCTGTGGGGAGCGACACAGAGCCATATATTAAAAAAAAAACTTTCTTTTTTCCAGCTAAGAGGCTTTGTGCATGGGAGGCATCTTATAGACTTTCTTATTTGCTTGTAGGGAACAGGAATTTCAAACTAATCAGAAGGTTGGTAACAAAAAAAAAAAAAAACCAAGCAAAAAGTAATCTATAGTGCTTTAGGCAAAGGAATTTCTGCAGCCTTTAATAGTAAAAATATTTTGAGCTGTTTTTATGTGGGGGAATAAGTTATTTTATATCTTGAAGTCGTCTTTTTCCTGTCAGAATCTGGTTCTAGGAAGATTTTTCTCCTGTGTTACTAGAAGAAGGTTGGGTATGTCATGTGTCAACTTTGTTTGCTATAAACTGAGGTTTCGATGGAAGAAACCTTTTGTTTTCGATTCAGGATTGGGTTGATGAATCCTGTTTTTAACTTCTTGTCTTTGAAACTGTTTCCTTAAGTGTGATGGGTGTGAATTGAAGAACCTGTAGAGGAAAAAGTGGCTCAAGTTTTTAGCATTCCTGTAATTTTTCCGCTTTGTGAGTGCTGTGTGGTGGTGTGACTCACTTTCAGGTGTGTGTCACAGATGTGTGGCTGCTTGGTGTGACTGAGGTCAAGATTTAGGCTGAGCTCCAGATGGTGGCCAGAGGATTACTTGAGGGCTAATTACAAGAGTTCTTTGTCTAAGTCTGAATAGTTACATCACAAAGATTCTTCTTTAATGATTCATCAGGCAATTTAGTTGGGATAAACACCACAACTTTTTCACTTTCTGATTAAGTGTTTTTCCTTTTGGCTCGTGTTGAGCTGTACCCCAGCACTTGCAGGCTGTTTTAATGGGCATTCACTTCCTGACTCTGACAATGGGATCTCTGGCATCTTTGAACTCTGGATAACTCTTTTTCTCTACATGTGTGGCCTACATTTCTCCCTGCATCCATCTACAGAGAAAGGGAACTGCTGTGGTGGGAGCTGTGAACAGAGGGCCCTGCCTGTGGTTTATTCAGGCATAGGCTGCCTTGAGTTAGCAAAGCTATTTTTGGGGTTCCCTCGGGGAGAAGGTGGTCAGGGCATTCAGCCTTGCAGCTGAGCAGAGTCAGTTTTGTTGTCACTGTGCTGGGTCAGCTGGTGGTGGTGGTTCTGTCAGAGGGGATCCCAAGGGGGTGTTAGTGAGGTCACCCGACAGCTAACTGCTGAGAAAACATTCATTTTGCTCTCTTAGTTTGTTATTGTTGCCAGGAAACACCTTGTGCACATTTCAGAGACTTGTAAGTTGTGGCTGCTCCTGTCTTAGCTCAACAGATTTGCCCTGTGACTCCTGGATAAAGGTCAACATCCCCAGCATCCACATCTCTGGATCACAGTGCCAGCCTGTCTTGTCAGGATGCGTTGTCACTCTCCTGGAGGGTGCCTGGTGCTGTGGCCACTACAGCTGTGGCCTTTGGTCTGTGGCAGGATGGCTCAGTGCTAAAGGGGATGGAATTTCCTCTCCATTTTATCCTTCCCTCTTTCTGCACTGCTCAGGTATCCCTCAAGGAGGAGTTTCCCACTCATGCTGTGTATCCAGTGCTGGTGGATTCTGGGGAAGCCAGACCTCATCCCAGCCCCTCAGTGCTGGTGGAGGAAACGGTGCTGGGGTCTCTTGCTGGTGGTGTCTGGGCCTCAGGGATGCCTTAGTGTTCATAGAATCATTTGTTTTCTACCTGTTTTTCCTTGTAACAACCTGAAGTTCACTACATTGCTCAGTGGCATCAGGACACTCCTTTAGGAATGAGTGTGTTTAAAGGTTGCTTTAGCGATAGGATTGCTGGAAGGACTCCTCTTTTCCTGGGTGCAGTCAGTGTGTCATACACCTGACACAGAGTACTGTGACCTTCCTGGTTCCCTTAGAAACAGAGCACTCCTTTAATGGGTTATTTATATTCCTGAGGTGCAATGTCCTGTGGTCTGGATGTACTTTCCTGTCTCTAGGGGGAGGAAATACTGGTGCTGCTTCACTGATTTGGGGTGTTCTCCTGGCTAGAGCCTCCTCCTGCAGCCTGAGGGGCAGAGAAAGGTGCTGGCTGTAAGATACAGGTGTTATTTTTGTGTTCAGTCATCCACTGCCTGTTCCTGGGGGCAGGAGCTGTCTGGGGAGAGATGATCCAAGCTGTTGATAGGCTCTGTTTAGTGCAGTCAAGTTGAGGAGCTCAGTAGGCTGGCCACTGAGGGCAGACCTGGATAGAAGCCTTCTAGCACTTGAAGCCTTAGGGAATGTTTGCACAGTCACTTTTCCTCCTGTGTCTGGGGCCAGAATATACAACCTGCAACAGAAAGTCATCATGACGTGTCTTAAGAGATAAAAGGATTTGTCTGGGTTTTCCTTTACTTTGTTAGGCAATAGCTGGCCTGGGGACCAGCACTGTGAGCTGGCTGCTTTCCTGGGGGTTCTGAACACCCTGAAGCAGCCAAGGTCATTCCCCAGAATCCAGGTGTGAGATTTGGTCAGTGCCATCTTCAGAACCCAGATTGCTGTGAAGTCTCTTTGCCTTCTTTTCCAACAGGAAGTATCGGTTCTCTTTCGAAAAGTGTAAATCTGAGCCCAGTATCCTGGTTCGTGGAGTGGGAGGCTGTTGTATGTCTGACCTCAGACTGCAGGCTGCTCAAGGGTTTACCACACGTGACACCTGGTGTTGCATCAGATGATTGATGGGGGATTTTGTTGATTCCCTCCTGGCCAAGGCATCCTTGAACCTTCTGTTTTGAGAGATCCATATGGTTGCAGGACTGAAAGAAAACCCTGACTTCAGGTTTGTGTTGTGTCTCGTGGACTGGTGCTGGGAAGTTCTTGACAATTACAAGAGCCCTCTCTTCTCCAGTGTGTACCAGGAAAGGTGGTAATAAAGAACCTGCTCAGCCTCGTTGTGCTCAAGGAGCTCAGTGTTTTCTTTGGAGGTGACAGGACTTCATACTCCTTCATTTCCCTTCTTCCCTGCTAAGTCATGCTATTTCCAAGTTGCTCCCTAGGATTTCATTTCAGTCTTTTTGCTGAAACCTCACATCTCCAGGACAGAGGTGCTAGACCACACTTGTATGTTGAGAGAGGACTTTCCCCCCCCCATAATTGGAGGATTAAATCATCCAGTCGTTCTTTGAAGCTACTACTGAGAGAGCAAGGCTATTGCCAGAGTGACTTGGAGGTACATTAGAGACTCTTAGGAGCTTGTTTATGCTCTGTGTGATGAGAGATATTCCTTGTCCTCCTTTCCCCTGGGCTAGCTCAGATTATGCTGATAGCATTAGTGAAGAACACTTCCAAGTCTGATGTCACTCTACTGCAAAAACCTGGAGGTTTGTTGAGACACTCACCAAGCACAGGGACTTTGCAGAGTCATCCAGGAATGAAACTGCACTTTGTGGGGCAAAATGTACTGAGATTGCTGCTTGCAGGGAGGACTCTGACACTTGTTTTGAGAGAGCTGTGAGAGGGAGCTCCAACCAGAGCTCTACACACACACACTGTGCATGTGTGAAGTTACCTGACAGTTCAAGAGAGGTGCCTTTAGGCACTTTAATCTACATTGTCTGTTTGACACTCTACTCTTCTTTTTGTAGTTCTTTCAACCTCTTAACAGCAAATTGAAAGGACTGAGTTTGGGATATATGCAAGACCTCCATGCCTGTGAGCCTGCAAAGGGTTGTAAGACTTGCCCTGTGGATATTCCTGAAGGGGGAAAAAGTTCTTGGGGACACTTTGCATCTCAAGCAGTGAAGTGTGTGAAAGTGGAAACGGACAGTAGTTAATAATACCAAGCTGTAATTATTGGGAAGGAGGTGTCTTTTCCTGGCTAGTGAGGACCTTGAGAGTGTGACCTGAGTAATCTGAAGGAGTTGGAGCCTTGAGCAGCTTTGTGACTCTTTCACAGACGCTTCCAAAAGGACGCAGCATTGATAACGGGAACTGCAGGATTTGCTGGGTTGAAATTTTATCTGCCTGAGTAGCTGCTAGTCCAATTCCATTAATGTTTGCATATTTAATAAACTTTTAATGCTGGATTTTAATGAGTTGGCAGTTATCTCTGAACACCCAGCAGCAGCAGTCACAGAGTCTAGGTGGCTCTCAAATGCAGATTTCCCTTGCTTAGAAGACATGTGGCTTTTCCTTGGGCAGTCAGCACTTGACAGGCTATGGAATGCTTTGATTTGGTTTGTATTGATGTACATCAACAGTGAATTCTTAATTTGGATGGAGCCCTAGGGTTAAGTTTTTTGGGGAGGAATCTTTTTAAAAAGCCAGATGTAAGAGACCATGACCTTGGTTAATCTCGTAACGCACCACTGATCTACTTGGGATGTTTCTTGCTAGTGATCTAATTATTTTGGCTGCAAAATGGGACTGCCAGGGAAATTGCTTCTAATGTGGCATTTGCTCTTACACACTCTCAGTGCTTTTGCTTTGCCTTTTGGTTTTTTTTTCCAAATTTATATCAAACTCTTCCTAATCCCAGGCAGGCTAAGAAGTGCCCTGGCTGTGCTGCACAGTTGGAGCCAAGTGTCTCTGAGGTTAAGGAAGGTAATCAATCATCAAGGCAAAATTCAGCAAGAAGTTCATGTTTGGGCTTTTGAGATAAACCTAAGTGTAGTTAATATGTCAGTATGTCAAATGTAGCAGGCAAGGTGAAAAGGGACTTCTGATAGCACAGTGTAATTCTCAGTTCTGGCACCAGTATGACTTTTATTAAGTCCCCTGCCCATTCCCAACCTTTAGGATGAATTCTCAGTATGCTGCTGTAATGTAGATGGCAGATGTAAGCTGTGAGGGTAGCAGGAAATAATTCCTTACAGCCTTCTCTGAGATAAGACAACAGTAATTCAGTGGCTGGACCCATCAGATGGGTTTCAGGTGACCTTTCAGTGGGCCTGGTAAAAAGCAGGAAAAATCTAATGTTTATCTGAGCCATAGTTTAAATTGATGTTCTTTTTATATCTCCAGAGCACCAGTTTGGGAGGAAGAGCAAAGAGACTTAAGGACAGAAACTGATGGACCATTACATCTTCCAAAATGAGCCTACTCACAGTTTTCTCCAGGAAAATAACATGTCTTGAAGGTGAGTAGGTTTTCTATGTGACAGATGAGCTGTGTGATGTCTTGGGCCTTGACCATCAGTATTCCCAAAGACAGATCCATCCTCATTTCAGCTTAGCCTGACACTGCCTCTCTGGGCTGGCACAGCCCATGGAAATGTGCTTGTGAAAAGATGTATTTTATTACTGGGAGAAGTATGGAGGAAGTAGGGAATATTTTCCACCATACCAGTGAATTATTATTACTGTTAATTTGGAAACCCTTGAAAAAGCTGGAGTGCTTAGTGAAAGAGGTGAGCCATTGGGAACATGGGTATTTTTTGGTGAGTGGAGAAAATGCAGGTGCTTTATTTGCAGGATGAGAAAGTTAAGTTTGTAAGGCAAACTTCAGTTTAGTTTGGTGAATGTATTAAATTACACAAGGCATTTTCAAGTGCTGTTCCAGTTGTACCTCAGATGATGTTTTCAGTGTTCAGAAGAGCTGAAGAAGAGTGCTTGTTATCAAAGATGATAAAGTAATTTCCCCAAAGTAAGGAACATAATGCTTGAATGAAATTAAATCAAAATTGTATTTTGTAGAGGTTGTGGTATCTTTTATGTTATTTTTGTACTCGGCCCCTTAGGGCTGTAGGCAGTGACCATGCAGTTTTGTTTTAAAATCCTTTAATAACAGAAATCAAAATGGGAAATGTTACGTAAGTCCTGTGCTCAACATTGAAATAAAACCAGGGTTTCTGAGACAGTTAAGGTTTAAAATATCTTGGTTTAGACTTTACTCTCACTTTAATAAATAATGTATAAAAGGAAGCTGTGTAAGCCTAAGTTTGCCTGCTTAGCAGTTTTAATTCTGATGTTTTAATTAGGCTAATAAATTTGCTTTTCTGTTGGTTACTTTATTGATAACTATTTTTTCTGTGTTTTGGTATGAACCAAGTAGTAGCTGTAGACTCAGAGATAATAGTGGAGAGTAAGTGGTGAAACGTGGGTGGCTGTCAGTTGTCATTCTGTCTGCACAGGAATTGCCCTAAAATGTTCAGCATTGGTGTCACAGGCCTTTTGTGCATAAACGCTTTTCTGGGTGAGGAAAAGGGCCTGGCAGAAATTCAGCCTGAACTTTTTTCCCCGTGGTTTTGCAGATTTGCAGCTGTGTCTCACTAGTTATGTGAGTTTCTTAAATATCTGTATATTTGGTAACACTGAGAGCCTCTCAGGAGTTGTAGAACTTGACAGAGGGGTGAGGAGATGCAGTGTTAGAGGACTCTACTACATGAGGAAGAAACAGCTTGTGGCTGGAGAGGGAAATACTGTTCACAATCACTGGTGCTCTTTGGTGTCTGGTATAATCTGCACAGCTCTGCATAAAAGGATGGAAAACTGAAAGCCCCAAAGTAAAAGGTGTTAGCAAGTTCTAAAATGCTCTCTTATATTGACTGTTGTTTTCCAAGTGTCCTCTTCAGATGTTATCAGTGAACCTCTGGCCTAAAGAATCTGGAAAACTAGGGAATCTCGCCTGGAAATATTTATTCTGGTAGAGTTTGTATTTTTCTGTTGTGTGGATGAACAGAAATATCTCCTCTTCCTTTTGCTCTCTTTTTTCTGCTTTTCCAGCCTGTGAAAAGTGCCACTTTAATCTGTGGAGAAAGATTGGGCAGCAGGGTGGAGAGAGAGAGAGAAGGGAAGAGTGAAAAGAGGATATTTTTTTCTGCTATAAGGCTTCTTTGTTCTCTGAGGTCAGGAGGAGCTGAGCTCCCAGTGACTTCATACCCTCTTCTGTTACCTGTTCTCATAAGCCTGAAGGGGTGGATCCTCCTCTCTGTGAGTCACTAAGTAAATATCAGGCAGTGCTGGTATTCCTGATACTGCTCCGAGTACTTGTGCCTGCTTCTTGTGTGTTGTTTACTCGCTGTTTTCGTAGCTGCTATCACAGCCCAGCAGATTTTGTCAGCACGGGGGCTTCTCACGGTGTGCAGCTGGAGAGAGGCACCTGCCTCGGAGCCAGGAGCTGTTCCAGCCTTGTTCCAGCGTGGATTTTCAGTGGGAGCTGGCAAATATTTGGAGATATTTCCAGTAAAACAGTCGATTCTGATTCTTGGCTCGCGATCAGAGGCAGCATTGTGGTTTGCCAGATGGCCCTGCGAGCTGGGTCTGGTGCCTGCTCCGGCTGCATCCCCCCTGCAGGGCAGGGCAAGGCAGGGCAGGAGGTGCCTGCCCGTGTCCCGCGGGAGCTCCGGAGCCCCAACTGCCCAGGGCTGGCAGGAGCTGCAGCTCTCAGCAGTTCCTTCCTGCTGGGCTGGCTGTCAGCACAGCTGGGTGCTGCAGGCAGGGCTCAGAGCCCTGTGCCCCAGCAGCTGCTGCAGCTGGGGGTGGCTCGGGAATGATCATAGTCTGGGTTGGAAGGGACCTTAAAGCTCATCCAGTTCCAACCCCCTGCCATGAGCAGGGGTGCCACTCATTAGACCATGTTGCTCCCAGCCCCATCCAGCCTGGCTTTGAACACTTCCAGGGATGGGGCAGCCACAGCCTCTCTGGGCAACACATGATGGGATGGTGGTGTCTCCTTGAGCAGATCTGAAGCTTCCATGAGGGGACAGGGGGCTTCAAGAGTTTGTGCTCACTGGGAAGCTCTGCTAGGGAGGGAATAAGGCATGTTATCCACTGAGCCACCCACATACCATGGGACTGGCTTCCAGTGTGCATGCATTCCAGTTTTGGATAACCACTTGGTTTTGCCCACGGTCTGCATTTGTGTCCATTTTTTATGTGGATTAGACTGAATCAGTCTTCTGTCCTGTATGGAAGACCCTGGATAGGTGTAGATGTCCCTGGTGGCTTCTTTCCCTTGCTTGCCTGCCCCTGATATGTTGTCACTTGTGGCCTTATGGGATTTCAAAATGTCTCAGTGTTTCTGGATAAAATTCTCATCTCACTGAGAGAAAAATGTGCCATCAATTTAACCTGAATCTGGACCAAATATGGACAGTTTGAACCTTGGGCAAAGACTCACAAATTGAATGATGCTGCCCACCCAGAATCGGTTGCCATCCTTATTTTCTCCGGGACAGGGAACACTTCAAGTGCTGGGTTTCTGGGACCATTTTGGGGGAGCTGACCAGGCCACTGGAGACTAGAGCTGTGGGGCAGAACTGCACCAACTTTTAATTACACCTTTGCTTTTACTGATACTGTCTTCAGGGCTTTGCTTATCCCTTTCTGCCAAGGGAAGCTCTCCCAGCCACCTCTAGAGACACTTGAAGTCCAGCTAATCCTGGGGTTCTCTCTTTCCTGGGGTTCCTGAGGGTTCCATGGTATGAACTGAAAGCCCAACAGATGCAACTCAGCTGTGGTACAGGCAGTGTGAGCAGCCTGAGGCACAAATTCCTGGGGGAAGATCCATCAGATTCATCCCCACATTGAATTTATATCCAGTGTTCCAGCAGTGGATTTGACAGCTTGGCTGTTGGATATATGTGGGCATTTTGGGATGTTTCAGTTGCTGTGTTGGGAACCATTTGTTTTGCTTCATCTGGATGTGAAATATTACCACTGTGGCCTGATAGGATCCACTTAATGGCACCGTGTACAGTCAGCATCAGCCTGAGGTGAGCTCTTCACCCACTGCACTGTAATTAACTTGCTATGACCAAAACTTCAGGAATTCCTGCTCTGGGACCTTACTGTGCCAGGTGGAACCTGCAGTCCAGTTTTGTTAGAGAGTAAGTGTCCACACTAAAAGCCACTGCATGTTTTTCTTGTATTAAGATCTGCTATTAAGAAAATAATTTTTGCTAAGCAGAGCTGACATTTAGTTAAGGGAATAAACTGTAAAATCCACACTGGGGGGAAAAGGAGGTATGGCTTCAGATTCCTGTGGTGGTTTTTCCAGCTGGCAGAGTAAAACAGTTATATTTTCACATGGTGTATTTTTCCTACATTTTAAATATTGTGTTTGATTAAGTTCTGATCGTGTATAACTTTTAGATACTGATTGGTATGATATGGGTGCAGCAATCAGTTAACTGTAGCTTTGCCAGGTGGCATTGCCTCTCTACATGTTGCCTTATCAATTAAGATATTGTTTCTCAAGCACATTGCACTTGCCATCTTGAAACAGACTTATATCTCTATTAAAATAACATTTGCTCAGTGCTCCCAAGTAAAGGAGAAGTTCAATTTTACTGATAAAGGACCACAATTAACTTATACTTAATTCATTTACCACTTGACTTGGTCTCCTTTCTCTGGTGCCTGAGCCTGTTATTTCGAATAGCTGTGTTTGGAAAGCTGCTCAGTTCTGTGTTCTGATGTCTGCTACCACAATTTATTTTTCCTTGAAATCTAACCACTCTGAGTTGATGCATCTTTTTTAATCTCGAGTTTAATCTCTGGTTTTCTCTTTTTAATTTACACAACCTTGATAAAAGCAGCCAGGTTATGCTGGGGTCAATTCGATGATAATAAATTCCTTCTCTCCTTCCTTAAGCCAGAGTGTAAATGAAATAAGCTAAATTTACTGCCTGTTCTTCATGCCTTTTTGTCCAGTGCAGAAGAAAATTAAGCTGTTTTGACCTTTCTCTGACACTTGTAGTCAGTGAAGATGAGGGCAGAGAGAGGCTTTGTAAAAATAAATGAAGTCGATATTGGTCTTTCTAAAATTGTTATTAATGCACTCCAATGAAAGTCCCAGCCTGTGAAGGCAAGTGCAGGCAATCTCAGCTGCTATTTCATCCACCTCCCAAGTTTTTGTTCCACCTTTAGAGCGCTTTGTCACAGAGGTTTTGGGGTGGTGGCTCTGAGTGGGTGCCATGCCTTGGGTGAGCTGTGTCCTGCCCTTCCCCTGGCACCGCCAGAACATCACCTGGGCTGGATCTGAGCAGGGCTGGCTGAAATCAGGGGCACTGGGGGCTTGGGCACACCCCTGGCAGTGATATAGATCTATGAAAAAAAAAAAAAGGCTTACAATAACCTGGAGGGTTTCATAGAGTCACAGAATGGTTTGGGTTGGAAGGGACCTTAAAGCCCATCT